TGGATAATTGTTTGAATAGCGCCACATTCACAATAAATATCCTTGTCCTCGGGAAGAAACCCCCATTTTTCTAGGTACTGCTATCCAGTTTGGTTCCCTGTCCTTATCCTATACTTGTGGCTTTGATTTTTCCTATCTAAATTCAAGATTTGGCACTTGTTCCTGTTGAAATTCATTTTTCTGGTTTTGATGAACAGCATAGGGCCCAGAACAGAGCCCTACAGCACAGATATTACATTTCCCTCCAGTTTAACCTGGATGTTTACTTGCTGAGTACAATTGTTCAACCAGCTCTGTATCCATCTAATAGCAGCATAGTTCAGCCCACTTTTTGTCAGACACTCTATTAGACACTCATGGGAAATGTTATCAAATGCTTTGCTGAAGTTGAGGTACATCCTTTGTCCAGCTTCAGCTGGTATGCCAATTGTGACCTTACCTGGTGCAGGAGGACCAGGCTACAGCAACTCAGGCTTTCATTACCACCCAGTTGGACTGCTGCAACACGCTTTACATGGGACTGTCCTTAGAGACTACAGGTGGTCCTCATTTAACAACTGCTTGTTCGGCAACTGTTCAAACCTACAACAATGCTGAACAAGTGGTACCTACGACTGGTCTTCATAGTTGTGGCTGTCACGGCACCCCCACAGTTGTGATCATGATTTGGGCACTCGGCAACCAGCCTGCACTTCTGACCATCACAGCATCCCGCAGTCATGCAGTCGCCATTTGCAATCTTCCCTGCCGGCTTCCGACAAGCAAAGTTGGTGGGGAAGCTGGCAAGCAGTCACAAGTTAGGGTCATGTGAGGCCCTCGCTTAACAACCGGCACAGTCCTTGCTTAACCACAGCAACCAGGACTGATGGAACTGCCGTTCCTCAGCGGCGTGGTCACATGGCATCACGCATAACAACCGCGCCATTTAGTGACAGAGTTTCTGGTCCCAATTGTGGATGTTAAGTGAGGACCACTTGTACTTAGAATCTGCAACTAGTCCAGAATAAACCCACCTGTGTGCTCACTGGTTCTTCTGGCTGGGAGCATGTAATCCTGATTCTTCAGGCTCTACATTGGTTGCTGATTGGTTTCTGGATACAAATTATGGTGCTGGTGTTGAACTATAAAGCTCTTTTAAGCAGAGGCTAGATGGCTGCCATGATAGCATCAATGTCATTTGACCATTTGCATACATACTTTTCGATACTGCTGCCAAGTATTGTTCATTTTATTTATAAAGCTACCTCCTTTTTCTTCGTTCCACACAAATAACCCGCTTCCTCTTCTTTCCAAATGCTGTGAAATTTAGGCCATAGAAAAACACCTTGTCAAAAAATCGGCTGGCGGGCTAACCTATATTGCCGAATGGCGAGGAGGCATCTTGGACCATAAAATGGGGCACTTGGCCTGCTTCTCCGGTGGCATGATAGGCCTCGGAGCAGAACACGCCACAGAAGAGCAGAAACAGCACTACTTGGATCTAGCTGCGGAAATAACACACACCTGCCACGAATCCTATGCTCGCTCAGGTAAAAACCCAAGTACATCTTTGAAGAAGGTTCTGTACACCCTTGTTTGCCCATTAGTATCGTTCCCAGGTAACGTCCGTCACTGAAGCCACACTTCCCAGTCCTCGCCCCGTCAGCCACTGCTACTGGCACCCTACTTCCAGTCGCCCTGCTGGACTCCCAAATGCGCCATTGTATTATAACCCTTATTTTTTAGTCTCCTTGTTCTGCCAGAAAGTGGCCCCTACTGAAAAGGCTGCATTTGATCAAGGTCCGTTGTCTTTTTCCTCTGTTAATGTCTAGACTGAGGATCTGTCCCCTTCTTTCAGTTGGGCTTCACAGCGGTGGTGTTACCTTCTCCAGCTCAGGTCCCTTCATACTTGAAATTCAGCAGGCACCTAAGGGTTAGGGCCAATCCGCTTTTCCCCCAGGTTCAGTATTTTCACTTTGAGGGCTTCTAAGAGATCTGAAAAATGTTTCTCCTTCATAGTGGAAGTATTTGTAACATGCTATTCCTTTAGTGAACTCACACATTCCCCCCCAACTTTGAACAGACCCTGCAGCTCTCAAAGATGACACGAGCATCAACGTTTCAGATTCCTCTGACTGTTCTCTGGTTTTTTGCGGCTAGATACCAAGCTGGGCCCAGAAGCGTTTCGTTTTGATTCTGGAGCCGAAGCAACAGCCACGCGACTCAGTGATCGTTATTACATCCTGCGCCCCGAGGTTGTAGAGAGTTACTTCTACTTGTGGAGGTTAACGCATGACCCCAAGTACAGGCAGTGGGGTTGGGAGGCTGTCCAGGTAAGTCACAAAAGGTGTCCTGACCTGATCTTTTCAAGCTGGGAGGACAACAGGAAGACTAAAGTGAAACTACCAAAAGCTTGTGAAATCATACCTACCTACCTACCTATCTACCTACCTACCTACCTACCTACCTACCTACCTACCTACCATCTATCTGTCTATCATCTATCCATCCATCCATGATTTATCTACCTGTCTATCATCTGTCTGTCTGTCTGTCTGTCTATCTATCATCTATCTATCTATATTGGGCTATCATGCAGACACACCAGCCCTGGATTAGCCTGTGAGCAAAATAAGGACGTGCTTAGGGCATTGAGGGGGCACCACAGTGGTTTTTCCCTTGGCTGACATGTCCTTAATTCTTTTACTGCCACACTTGACTTTAGTCAAATTTTTTATAATTTTCCTTATCTGCCATGTTCAACTTCAATCTGCATTGTTAAAAAAATGTTTTCTGTGGCACGGTGGGTGACTAATGTTTAAAAGTTGGGTTGAACTTTTGTTTCTGTCTCATGGTGTGAGAATTTCACTTCCATCGAGGGACTCTGTTGTTGGGCTGTGCTTAGGGAATCGGTTGGCCTTCACCTGGCCCTGAGACCCATATATTAGTAATTTACTTAGTCTTTATGACAACCTGTTTTGGGATGCACAAAAAAGGTGAATGGTTGGTTTGGGCCAAGCAGCCCCAAAATCAAATCAAACCAAATCAAATCAATAAATAAACTTCTACCCCTAGCTCAGAGCATCCTGTCTTTCACTCTGCAGTCCTCAGTAGCACCCTTCAGTTTGTGCCACATGGCAGCCACAACATCTGATCTCTTTGTGGAGCCTAAGAAAAGCCATGCTGGATTTAACTAAAAGCCTCCCTAGCCCAGCACCTTGGTTCCAGCAACGCCCAAGTAGATGATCCTTCATGGGCTACCATCTAACATAAAATAAGGGCTGCTGTTTGTGGAGTCCCTGGGGGTTTCTTAAGTTTGGTTTTTTTTTTTTGAAAATTTTTTTTTTAAAAAAAAAA